GATTAATGTAGGTACCTACACCGAAAAAAAATGCAATTAACTCTTAATGAATATGTGTAGGTGCATACATACTTTCGAAAACGATTCAAATGAAAAATTAAGTAAACCTAAGTATTGGTATTGTGGAACTTAAAAATTACTTATTCAAATAATTCAGAACAGAAGGTACTTACAAGGGTATTTCAAAATATATTTATTAGAATCAATACGGTAGCTGCTATAGGTCTTCGATTATGAAATAATATATTCTGGAAAAATGAAAATGAATATCAAGATGTCCAATCCTGTTAAGTTAAAAAAAACAAAACAAAATTACAGAAGAATGAAGCTTTGTCTTATTAAAATATAACCATTCGTTATTTAGTGGCCAATAACATTGAGATACATTGGGTGCAAAGGTGGACAGAAGTGAAAAAATTGAGTTACTTGAGTAATTATACCTAATTTATATTAAATAATAATATGTAAGTATATAGAGCAGACTGTATATATTTATCACTAAAAGTTTAAAGCAAACATGGAGTAAACTCGACTATGTTGAAAGGAAGTTGGTTATTATTTTTAATAAACACCTATGTAACACGTAGTGATTTCACAACTTTCAACTTTTTAAATAATGACTAAACATTTTGTTAAAAATTCACTGTAGTAGATCCAGGAATCACACGTCTGTGAGTTAGTCTAATTATTAAACTGAGGAATATTTATTTTAATTTAATATCATTGTACATAGCATTGGAGCGTAGTTAAATAAAAAGTTAATTAGTTAATTACGTTTAACTACAGATACCTCTTGAACACGATTTTAACTTAAATAATTAATTTTAAAATCATCTTGAAAAAGCTATAAATACTCTAATATTAGTCAAGTTTTTAAGTTAATTAGGAATTTACCAACTAATTAAGATGAAAAGCTTGAAAATATTAAATTTTTAACTACATTGTATTACTGCCCACTTTTGATTATGTATATGCTTGTATTATATTCTCACGGTATATAATAGGTATGCGTAAACATATTAGTATTTGTACGTTGTACGTTGGGTGTGCTTACAAACTGAAAAAAATGCAAAGAATAAATATTTTGATTGTTCACATTGGAATTTAATGTTATTAATCACGCCAGTAAATATACAATTGTATAATAATCAATAGCCTTTCTGGCTCAACGCACGACCATACTAATAAATTATAGCAATTAATAATAATAATGATAATAATAATAGGTACATGTAATGGTTTTGATTGGGAACTTTGATTAAAATTTGTAGGTAGGTAGTTAAACATTTGCACAGATAATATAAGACATTTTGTTATAATAAGAATGGTGTAACTACAATATACTCACCTGAGTCACCTGCAATAAGTCCGTGAGAAGACTGGCCAGCCGCTACCAGTAGCCAGTGCACAATGGCGGCTATTATAAGAGCAATACAATTAAAATAATCAAAATTGAAATCACAATAATGGCTTAAGGGCTGATATAATATTAATGCAAATATCACAACAATGGCTTAAAAAAATATAAAATACCGTGGCGATTAACGCACACGAATATTACAGTGATTGTAAAAAAAAAAGGCTATGGTCGGCGCACACGAATGTAATAACGAAAATAAACAATTAGTTTGGCGATTTGCACAATGAAATAATAATACTCAAAATGGAAAAATCACGAGTAAGTGTACGACCAAAGGTACTAAACAATACTGCTGATGTAAAAATAATAATTACACTTATACTTAAAATGCTATAAAACAATTAAAATATTAAAATAATAGTAATACTCACTGTTTATGCTATATTTATTATAATGCGTGTTTGTTGTGTATTTTTGTATTTACTGCGCTTTACTCGTCGGGTGGCAGACACTATAACTATATAGGATGCTGACTCATTTATTCTGGGTAAGTGCTGAAACAGTAATTTTTTTCATATTATGGTGGGTGGAGGGACAAAAAAAAACATCTATTGTGTCTATGAATATGGTGCTGAAGGACGTCACACCCATCTACTACCCCCGAAATAATTGACCAATACATGTAAACATTACAATATGGCAGTAGTCATTCCGCAAGTTTTGTAGAATTGTAAAATGTATGAAACTATTCATCAAGTTAGTGCTGTAAGTATAATAATGATTAATAATGATTAATAATGAGCATTATTACTTTAAAATTTTACGTGGACCTTTTGCAGTAAAAAAATATTTGAATGTCAAACTAGAATTAGTTGTACAAACAGAAAACTAGTCACAGAAAAATAAGTTCAGTGCCTTAGAAAATAAAAAAAATGTTGCAATTATTCATCGAATTAGAGCTTACGTGGGGGGTAAAACGTCGCGAGGAAAAATTTCCTAAATTCCCTGCCCACTAGGTATTTTTTCTTAATTAATTAATTATTTTTCTTATTACGCTGTATCTCTATAAGTGTTGACAGTTTGTGGGCCAAAAGTGTTTACAATTTTCAGGGAAATTTTTGATTACACTGTCCTTCCGTGTACGCCCCTTCCACATGTGTGATACTATAAGCACTGTCTATTTTCTACCCTTTTGTATTATGACGTTTTTGATATACCGTTTATAGGCCATGTTCCTTGTTAGTGTCGCATCTCGTTTTCTCGTTAGCTTTAATGGAATAATCTGTTTATTTAATGTATTATATTATAACTATTAATCTGTTTATTCGACTAGCTTTTCATACCACACGTGAAGTGCATCGTCAACCTGTCCATTATTCACTGCACCCAACGATACATATTGTTGGTCGTGCTCTGTTTATTTTAGGCCTTCTTTTGAAAACATTGGATTATAGTTTTAGTTGTATCCAACAGTTCTGTTTATTGATTTATATGAAATATAATATAATACGTTATGAAGGATTTAAGTCTAAATCGTATACATAAAATAAACTATAGTCACTCGCAAAAATAAATACCCAGATTTGAGTATATAATAATTATAATAATAATAAAAAAATATATAAAAAAATTTTTATTATTACATGAAAATACAATTTAAAACTGTCTATTGGCATTGCATTTTGGTGCTATTATTAACCAGAAAATACATTCAGAATAAAACTGATAAATTATATTATTTTTTGAGATTTACAATATACAAATCAAAAAACTTTTTGTCAAAATTGTTATTGTTATGTAATGCCCTAAATAAGTTTATTGTAACAACATTGTCGAAATCATTATTACAGGTTAAATCAAATTGTATAGGAAAACTAAAGTGAAAGATTATTTGATTACCTATGCGTTTGATGTTCGATATTTGAAATTGTAGTATTTTGTTTTCTATAACTTATGAATTATTGAACAATAAAACCTCTCAAAAAGCCCCAAGAAGTTGTTAGAGTCCGACGAATATTAGGTAGGTAGGTAAACACGTGCATACTTTAACAAAACTAAAGCATGTTCTAATCAAATGAAAGTATTTTTCGAGGGATCGATGAATAGTAAAATTACTTTCTTTTTTTTTTTAGGAGAGTAACGAAATGTTAAAATGTTTTATGGGTCGTAGTTTAAGTCAATAAAAATTATTTATTTGTTCACATAGATTTATACTTTAATCACATTGTCAGTTATAAATAACATAATTATCATACGTTTGACAATTTTAAATATTTTAGTATTATTTTAATATTTAGTGATTAGCTATATATCCCAGTTTAATTTTCAAGAACCCTATAACTATCGAGACGTATCAAAAATTTAAAATTTATTTTTCAGACTGAATTTTGTGTTCACCAAATGCAAATGATTACAATATTAACCACTATTTTAAAGTACCTACAGCAAATATGATAAAAAATAGGACTCTTTTTAAAGTGCTGGTGTTTATCCTTGCTTTTAATTTTAACACCTCAACGCAACACTTAGGCACATCCACTCGAGACACATAACCAAACAGTAACCCCTCGATTTGAGGCCAAGACTTGTTCTTAAATGTACAACGTACATGAATGGATATAAATAAAAGTATAATACATAGTGTATTATTTTTAAATTTTAATTCTAATGTAAAATTTTAAATCTATTTGATGGATAATTGAATAATACACAATATGAGGGTAAATCGGAATCAATTTTATTCCTTTTTAGTCATGCTGAAAAAGTAAAATACAAAAATAAATTCAACGTCAAATATTTGCAGCTCTTAGTACTTACAACAGTCGTGGCGTTGAAAATCAATTTAATTGTTTTATTTGAGCTGGATCATTAACGTTCGATATGAAACTAATAGTTATAATTTGATTTTGATATCAGCATTTTATGTAGGTACAAGATTTAATAATTTTTAGACATTTGATAAAAATGAATATTTGACACTTGAATATTTAAAAAAAAAGATTCATCTTCAACTTTATTTTATAGAAATGCATTGAAAATATTGAAAATAAATAGGAACGATTTTTTTATGAGCGTTTGAAGTTATAATGTTGACGAAATTGAATATTTAAACGAAAATAACGAATTCAGTTATATTTTGTTGTATTTAAAAAAATATTATTAATAACGTTTAAAACTTTTCGCCACTTCTTGTTTTTTCCTATTTTTTTTCTTAATAAATAATATTTACTATATACATTGAAAATTTCTAAAATATTTCCAGATTCATAATATAATTATAATATAGCCTTCTGTATTATACTGCAAATCCATCGACACTGTTCTATGAGGTACTCGCCGGCGTGTCGACTCACGAGTTTTAACAGTTAGAGTAATATAATATTTTTTAATAATAATAAGTAAAATCACAAGACTTGACGACAAATTTACAACTATAAGTGCAATATTGCAGCATTCCCGGTAAGCAAAGGTTGTGCTGGGGGATTTATGAATCACTATGAAGTAATAAACCTAAATGTATAATATTTTAATGAATTGTCCTTGGAAATATAAGGCTGGTGGCCCGTTTAGAACATTTTTATCCTGTAACCACAATATAACAATGTACAGCGTAATCATGATACCACTGACCATGTTTCAGGTGCACTGCAGAGTCCGAGCAGGGGCGGTCCGAGGGAAGGAATCGCAGAAATTCAAAAAACTCATAAAATATTTAAAAAAAAAAAATAATTCGAGGGCATTACCGGGTGTCCCAGGCGTGAATTCGGTTGTCCGGCGTCGCATACGACGTCGGCTGCGGCGGCGGCGTCGGAGGTGGCGGCGGTGCGACGGCGACGGCGGCGACGATGAGGCGCGCCACCAGCAGCGTTTTCACTTGTAGCAGTCGGCCGGCGAGTAGTGCTTAGCACGCGTCGGCGGCCATGCAAGCGGGTGGCGTGACGGCGGCGCCCGCGCCGGCGCCGACCAACGGGTATGGGGCGCAGCAGCAACAGCAACAGCAGCAGCAACAGCAACAGCAGCAGCAACAGCAGCAACAGCAGCAGCAGCAGCAGCAGCAGCAGCAGCAACAGATGCTGTTGCAGCAGCACCACCAGCAGCAGTTGTCCAACAACTCGCCGGCGTCGACGGCGGCCACCGGCACGGCCACCACCAACAAGATACTGATAAACGGCGGCCGGTTCGACTTCGACGACGGCGGCACGTACTGCGGCGGCTGGGAGGACGGCAAGGCGCACGGGCACGGCGTGTGCACCGGTCCCAAGGGCCAGGGAGCGTACTCGGGATCTTGGCACTATGGGTTCGAGGTGTCCGGCGTCTACATGTGGCCCAGGTACGTAGTGTGTCGAGTGTGCCACCTCGGAGGGTCTTTTTCGATAACATTGACGACGAGTGTATTAGAAAATGGTATGGAGAGCATTGATGAGTATCGTTATTAGTTTTAGAAATAAATGAATAATGTTTTAACGAATTTACTGTGTTATATGCAATATACTATGCGTGATCCGCCTACACTCGATTTTGAATAAACTAGAATATTACCTGTTGTTTGGACGAAAAATGGCGCCCATGATTAGTGATAAACTGCAAACCTATAGAAAACGTTCAGCCGGTTGACCACTCTCTTATTACTAAGATTCATCTCTAGAAAGGGGTGGTGGGGTTTGTTAACGAGAGGACCAGGAAGAGTATTTGGGATCTGAGCGCTATGGGTTCCAGGTGTCCGAAGGTGTCTACACTTGGCCCAGGTACGTTACTGGGAGTTTTTTCGATATAATATTTACGACAAATCCTCCACACCGTGGCAGTTTTCACATTTCTATAATCATTTTAATATTACGTATAGTATGCACTGTACATGCATCACAGACGGGCGTGTCATCTTTCATTCGTTCTGCAATATCACGGAGATAAGCCATGTATGGGTGCAATATTATTGTGACTGGTGAACAAAATTTGTTATAATAATCGTTCGGTCTGCTAGACATACGTCTGCCGAACTAGTCTCGTTTGATCACTTGCTCCGTGCACTGTTTGTTGCCAGGTCATCGGCAAAGTAAAATAATTTACAGTTTTATTTTAAATACACTATTTTAACTGTACTCGGTAACTAGCTTGTCTGACGTCCGAATCCTCTAACATTCCCCCGTTCGGTACAAATCTATCATCACGGACACACAATCACATCACACCGTGCGCCAGCAGTGATAGACAACAATTTAATATTTAGTATTTAACCACGTAACACTCTTATCGGGAAGCCGAGGTAGCGTACTTGGGCACTGCGGGTTCAGGGTGTCTGGTTTTTTTCACGATATCGACGGCAAGGTCTATTGGAGGGATGGAGTCATTGTAGTTCGCTCCACACTACCTTTATGGGCGTGACTAGAGTTAAGCAGTGTCAGCTGGTCCTGTGAAATCAAAGTCGATGGCCTTAGGAGCCAATAACAAATTGTCATTGAAATCAAATGTAATCAATACAATATTAAATGAGTAAAAAAAAAGATGTCACTTTGTTTTGTATACACGAATATTCTGTGGACAGGAATTGGGTCGACAAAACGCTGTCCCGTAGTGGGCTCTTCAATTTGAAATAAAATCCGTTTGAATCCGTTCGAATCCGTTCTGTAGTTTCCGAGATTATCCCGGACATAGAAATGCACTTTGTCTTCTATAGATATATAAATATTAATTACCATTATACACGTTGCACACATGACAAAGTTCTTCTTTACAAGGAATTATTTAAAACGCCAATGCTGAAGGGGTATGGGCTAAAGACTACTATTGGGAGGCTAAGCCTATATTCTTTGTCTTAACTATTTTATTTTTGTAAACAATGTGAAGGCTAAGAAAAAGCCAATTCGTCAAAAAGTTTTGATGGTTCAATGTTTTTGTTATGGCCGCGACGACTTCCTAGGTATTATTTTTGTCTATACAGTTTTCCATCACGTTGCGTCAATACCAAATAATTATTTGACAAAAAATAACGAGTAATATAAGCACTAATGTATAATAATGTAACTGATAGTTTATAAGTATTAATTAAAATAATTTTTTTCCATGATTAATATTTTCTTTACTTGTTTTACATTTTAGTGTTCATATTTTATCGATATTAACTACCTACTATAATATAACTTATCCAAACCTAATAATTATTATTACGTATTGTTTATACATAGTGCACGATTCTTGTTCACGCGAAAATTGTTTGCACTAATGCACTAAAAAATACTTGAAAATGGTGTACGAAATCAAACGGTTACTTAACATGAATTTAAGGTTTTAATTTTTACACCATTGAACCATTGTACAGTTTGCAGAAAAAGTTCGAGAAATTTGTTTTTATGAGTAATTTACACGCGAGTAAAACAATTTTACCTTGCTCATTTATTTCTGATAATCAGATCACCACGTTACACACTTCGACGTGCTTAAGTTATATAAATTGCATTTTAGTATTTAACTAGAAAAAAAAAATACATACAAATTGGCAATCGCATATAAAATAAAAACCCCCTGCTTTTTTGATTGTAAACTTTTACATTTCTAGAGGCACAATTTATAACTTTCTAGACAAAAAATCGCAGTGCTATAAAAAAAACCCGCGAGTGCAATAGAGTCTACAGAGTCTTATTAATAACAATCAGAAGTTACTTCTTATGATCTGATGAGGCTACATAATAACTATATACTCACTTCAATAATCGCTACTTTTGTGTTACTTTGTGTACACAGAATAATAATATTGTTTATTGACCAAGTTAGGGCTGGTTACAAAAGAAAACTTTGAGCGCAACTGTGCAATCGAACAATGTCCGTAAAACATTATAATTTTCTCTTCCACATTTTTAGTTGCTCATATTATTATGGCAGTAATGTCATTTCTATATTTTGTTTAAGATTGTAAACATTGTTTAAATTTAGAATGAATTTTTTTGAGGGGGATTAAATAGTAATAACATTTTATTAGTCAAATAACTTAAGTGCTTGTAAAAAGTATCAAAGTTCAACGAATCAATGTAAGTAGGTAGCTAAATTTTCGCTGTATGCAATGTAAAATTTCACTGTCACTTCGCTCTTGATAAACTTACAATCGAAAAATATAAACTCGTACTCTCATAATTTCAAAATAATGTAGTGCACTTCCTGCAATGCTTCAAAAAAAAAAAAAAAAATGGAGCAATATTTAAAATTTTCAACCATTGACAATAATAAAACATAGTAAGGGGTTCTCAGAAGTTATGTATTTAAAATTCAAATATCAAATACTTTACGTTCTATGAAAAATATTATCTGCAGCATCAGAATAATGATCTAAATGTCCAACGATCATAGCATAGAGAAATTTGTGCAATAAAGTTTAAAATTACGTTGAAAGTGGAATTTATATTATTTTATTTTATGACTAGTCTGTAGGGCATAATATTAAATTTAAAAAAAAAATGTTTTAATTATTGATATAGGTAGGTACTTTTATAATTATTAGCCATTACATATTTTTACTAATCATCATAAATACATACAATTTCTATTGAGATTAGGAACTGAAAAAAATAAACATCTCTCCATCAAAATATAGGTTTAGTTTTGGGTCATTCCTAAGGGAATGACTTTCTTCATCCCTTTTTTCATTCTTTTTCGCCCTTTTTGGGCGTCGGTTTTTTTTTTTTTGGTAAGGTTAAAGTTTTTTTTTTTAAGTCCCTTTAATTATCAATCTTAACAAATAATATTTGTTACTATTTGATGATACATAATACTATTTTTTGCAACAGTTTTTGTTTTAATAAAATTGAAATCCGCTGTGAGTGATATAGCTAGGTACTTGATGCGTTGTTTTGAATACTTTTTATGAAAAATCTGGATTGTTGTGGAATAATTCGCTGCTATTATGAATGCATATATAGTGTTCCGTGTATGACTTTAAATAATCATAGCCGGAATAGTAGAGACTCACTCCCGAAATAAAACCGATTCGCAGTATCACACCCATTCTGTCATAGTAACAAAAATATTATAAAATAATATTATACATATTATATGACAAAAAAAAAAAAATACTAAAAGTGTAATATTTATTTTTTATCGAGTTTGTCACGGAAATGTTTAAAATTGCCAAGCCAGGTTGTGAATCTCTGATATAGTTATTATAGCAGAGCCGCTCGTTAATCAAACAGAAATGTATTTCGTTAAATAAACAAAGGTCTTATAACGATTAATATATTACGAAAGCACTGTATTAATTTCCCGCGATTAAGTTGACGGTTTATTCTGAAATGAATGGTTCCTGATAAAATTATTCCGAGTGCAATTAAATCAGGTATTCGCGTAGTTGTACGAAACTGTTTCAAACATTCCTAGTCCAATATCAGATTTTATGATGTAATCATATACGGAGTCGTGATCTAATATTGTAATTTGTAATATAACTGTTGCAAATCGGTGCTCGAAAGTGACAATAATATTACAAAACATATTACTTCCTCGAGATACATATAGAATTCCTATTATAAAAATCAGTTATTCATAATAATTTTGAGTAGGAATCGTTCGAAAACTGTTCAATTTATCTTAGATGAGTAAATAACACATATTTATGTAGGGTGTTTCAGAAATCGGTACGAATTTAAAAATGCCATAAAAGTCACATATTTTACTATTTTTTGGGTATATTGTAGGTACATAAATAATATCAAATCCCGGTAGATTGACACTTTATGATTTAAACGCCCTTCAGATATTAGTTAAAATGTAGTACCAACAATCGTAGAAATTACGGAAAAATAAAACATTTTTTTTTCTAATTTTTAATTGAGTTAACTTAATTAAAATATTGAAACACAGAACTACGCATCTTGTCGCACATTTTTTTTTTCAATCATTTCATATTTTGTGCATTACACTAATAATATTATCATACAACACCGTTCTAGGACTGTCTCTGCGTTATGCAATGATTAAGAGAAACAGACGGTATAAAAGTTCAGGTCACTTTAATTTATTATGAATTGAAAATAAATTGTTAAGATGTTTCTCTTTCTTCTTTTACTGAGAATACCATACGCTTACCTATATATTATAGGAGCTTGAAAGTTGACAGTGTTAATTACAAAACAAAATTCATGATAGTACATTTTAATATAAACTAGTTATTTATAATATTGAGTAGGGATCGTTTGAAAACTATTTAATTTATCGTAGATGAAAAAACAATATAAGCAAATGGCAAAATATATATTTTTATAAAAAAACCAAAAATGTCCCTTTTAGATTTTTGGAATTTATTTGAATGTACATACAAATAACATTAAAATCCAGTATTGATATTTT